CTTGCATGCAGACACAACATAAAACTTTTTTTTGTTTGGGGTTTTCTGTTTTCTTTGTTCTTGTGTAATTCTTCTTTCTGTTGTTTTTCCTTTTCTCTTTTTTGTCTCCTCTCTTCTTTCTGCTGTTCTTTACTTTATTTTTCCTCTAAGGCACATTTTTTTTCCCTCAAAATATCATCTGATGTTAATAATCGATGACATGTAAGTTTCTTTTTTTTCTTAGAAATGACTTCATTGCAACTTGTGTTGGCTTTTGGCGAAACTATTTTGTTGATTTCCTCACTGACTGCAAAGGAAGGAAGGTCTACATTTAATACTGTGGCAAGGTGTAAAAGATCATCTGGGGATGTCAGTGTGAATTCTCCTTGAGTCACCAGATCTGGGTTTGCATTTTCAAGAGAGATCTCTGCTAACACTGTCCCAAAGTTATCGTTGGACACAGTTGAGCTTCAAATACTGGTGCTAGTTGAAGGTACATCTGTAGGAGGATTCAAAGATGAAGCGCTTAAGAAATGATCTGCTGAGGAGAAAGCCATGCCTACATCTGAAAGTTGCTGACTTGAAGATGGAGAAGTCACAGGTGGTACAGCAACAGCTACTTCAGAATCAATGGTAGATGAAAAAGAAGAAGTGAGTTCAGGAACATGTGGGGGTGTAGGCTCAGGCTGGTCAAAGGGTCTACTGGTGAGGAATGCTTCATCGGGAATAGCAGACATACTCAGAGGATGAATACTACATGCTTTGAATCCTGTCTTTATGTTGTGGGGAGTAACAGCAGCATTCCAAGCTAAAGTAAAAATGGAATGCCAGGTCTCCTTGGTTATTAGATGGGAGGGACTGTCAGAGAAGAATTCTGTACAGGCTTTGTTGTAAGCCTTTGACAGGGGCCCAAACACCATTCTGTCAAGAGGCTGCAACCGAGCAGTGGTATGTGGGGGAAGTGCAAAAAAATGATTATTATCTGCCCTTGCAGTTTTTAGGAGACTGAAAACCTCATGGTTACTGTGGGAGTCTAAAATCAGTAATTGGGGACGGTGATCTCCATAGTTTTTCAGGAACACTTCCTGAAACCACTGGTTCCCAAGGATGTCGCTCATCCAATCTTTCTTTTGATAAGCCTACACTGTACCTGGAGGAGCATCAGATGTACGAAATGATTCTAAACTTCGTCTGCTTTTCCTTTTACGATGACTAAGGGGGGCATTTTTTGTCCTGCTGCATTAACACAAGTCATCGTGCTGATACTTTCTCATGAGTTTGAAATTCGTCCGGGTAAGCTTCTTGCCCCTTTCCTTGCGCAGTTGTAGGAGAATGCTCAAATTGTAAAACCTTTTCATCACAGTTCCATATTGCATAAGGTTTATTCTGAAGATCTAAATCTGACAAAATATGCCCTAGATCTTCAAAATTTGAACATGGCCCTACTAATCACAAAGCCCATGTCCGCTGCAGTCATGGCTGTTTTTACAAGTTTTTCCTCTATCTCCGATGATAGAGTTGGGGGCTTTCCAGGTTTAGCTCCTGTTTCTATTTTCCCTTTGACAAGACCCCCAGGTTTAGCTCCTGTTTCTATTTTCCCTTTGACAAGATCATGAGTCGTTGTTTTGGGAACCTGGAATTCAGCTGCTGCTTTTCTGAGTTAGAGTTGACCTGTTTTTTACAGCATTAATGGCATTTTCCAGATTCTCTTGGGAATACCTTTGATAGATGTTTTTCCTTTTTTTTTTGCCATTTTCCTGAAATTTTAAACAAAATTTATTATTTATATTTATGCTTATTTGCTGCTATTGTCATAGGAGAAGGGGGTCGTTTACCTAAGGATCTTTAGTATAATTAAATTTACATAGTAAAGTAACTTACTGAAATATCTTAAAGGAAAATGGAACAAACCCTACCATGGGAAATTATCCCCCCCCCACCCACCCCCACCCCTTATCAAGATAGCTTGTTTATGTATATTTATCAGGGCCTGGGAAGGGGCCGCGCCATGCGCCATATGCGCATATTGTCGAAAAATGGCGCAATGAAATAATGGTGCGCAGCGCCATGCGGGGCGCCCCACAAAATGCGGGTATGCATGTTTTATTACTTTGTAAGTTCATCGCAGTCCGCTCTATCTGTATTCTTCGTAGAAGTTAGATGGAATCTGTGATGTATTATATAATAAAATCGGAACCATCATTCGGCATACTGACATCCACTGGCAAAGAAACAGTTTTTTTTCTTCATGTTGTGCGATTCATAAGTGTCAAGTCATTTTCGACGATTGATCCAGCTTTGCAAAAGTCACGCACATGGAAAATATATACCTTAAAATCAAAAACCATTTACAACGAAATCCACTTATTTTAGCCTGTCCCGTGATCTCTAAATTGGCATCGTTAAAAAATGGTGCTTTTGGTTTCAATATAATTTTTCTAAATACTAGTTGGTTAGAATTTAGATGACGATTGACTGAAGTTCTTATAAACGGAAAAATCATTTGCACTAGTCAATGTCATATGACTTGTCAATTCCTATCGCATTTTTCTTTTTAATTTTTCAAATTTTGTCTGAGATATTTGCATTATCCTATAACATCATACTATGATTTATTTTAGAATGGCCCCAATATATTTCCCCTTGGCCCCTTAAATTTCAAAATGGCCCCTTCATTTTATGAACATTGGGACCATTGGCCCCACCTGTTGCTTGACCTTCCCAGGCACTGTATTTATGTGTATATATTTTGTTTGTTGCTGTTTCTTGTTTTTGTTCTTAAATTTTTATTTTTTTTGATATTTTTTCAATAAAAACTTCCCAACACCCCTGGATCTACAGTTGATAAAAGTAGTAGGCCTTATGTGTGTAGGCGTACAACAGCCCCCCCCCATTACCTTCCCCCTTTCACTTAAGCAAAAATATACCAAATATACCAATTTCCTTTTTTTATTTAAAAGAAGGAAAAATTAATTTGTTGTAAAAAAGAATGCTGGCATCAAACATTAAACTGCATAATCGACTGTAAGAATTTTAAATTTTTACGAAATGTAAGTGGTGTTGTAAATCCGGACACCAACATTTATATTCATTAAATATGTTTATAGCTAATTTACTGTATTAATAGTATAAAAAGTATATCTTTAAATTAGTTCTTTGCACTTATTTTACTTGTATATAGCTTAGTTTCCTTCATGAGTGACTTACCTTTGCTGTTTTTGAAGATGCAGGGCAAAGCGAAAGTAGCAACAAATGGGCGTCTTTAACAACACGAAAGGTGAAGGTCGTTTATTTTGGACAACCAATCACGGTACAGTGACGCATGTGCATAAAGTTAGGTGTTTTCCTGATTCTAACATCGTAAATTATACAACAATTAAATATAAAATAAAAAATCAGAAGACAAAAACAAACAATATACGTTTTATTCAAGTGTCCGAAGTATTACACCTGTCCGAATTAGCAACACTTTCCCCAATTCTTTTGGTTTTTGAATGGTCTCTTCTTTGGTCTTCTTTTCTTTCTTTGAAGTTGGTAAATCAATTTTTTTTTTTCAATACGCAGCATACTTCTCTTTGTTTGTGTATTTCTTTAAAACGCTCCATTTCTTTTACTATTTTATTTACTTTCCAGAGCAACGAAAATCTACTTATTTCCGAGCAGCATATTTCTTAGAGTGGGGGCGGTGGGTTGTTCCTGTAAACCCATTAATATATTTATGCATCTTATTATAGTGTACTTGAGTACAAAGTCTATTGAAAATAGACCACAACTTTAGGTACTAGTAGTGATTTTTAAAGAATTGCAGAATTTTTACTTTAACTAGCCATTGAGACACCTTTCGTCATAATCAGAATTGTAAATCTAGGGTCGTCCATTTGTGTGTACAAAGTCTTAACGATACCAAAACTATAGGAGGAGGAGATTTTTTGGTAAAGTGTTTTGAAAGACCGACGACTGACACTCTACATATATATAACCGCGTAGTCTGGGTCTTAAAAGGTATGTCTTTGAACGGGTAAAAAGGAGTGTTTGCAGTGAAATGAGTGACGCTGTGGGCAGGAAGTAGTAGTGCCGTATTCCTAGGGCTCTTCCCGGAAAAAAAATCAAAAGTAACGAGAAATTTTGTTTCCGAATTTATTAGAATTTTTAACGATGGACAACAATTTAAACACTCAAGGAATAAACGGATGTGGCCAGTAATGAGTCGGGCCTCCGAACTAAAACATACAGTTCAGATACTGATATATAATATATGAAAGATTTCTTTGACAACTAGCAAATTGACAAAATGACATGTGTTGAGCAAATTAGTCAGTGAAAAGTTTTGATAAGATGGACATATAAGAAAGATAAATAATTACATGAATATTTTATAAGGTATTAGAAATTGGTGATAGCGCTAACACTCTGCCCCTTTGTAGTTGTCAACAATTGTTCAGATAGTGTCACAATGCAATTCAGTAAATAATTCAATATTTCTAAGCGCAATGATAAATAAAGATTTAGAACTAATCTAAATGAAAGTAACTGATAAAACGTATTAAAATTCAAAATAAAAGTCCATTATTAGATTTGTAAGAGTTAATTCTGCATAGTGATATATATATCAGAATTTCTGGTGTCTGACTAATAAAGCCTTTATATTTTTAATCATAATGCTTAAACTACAATAGTTTACAAGAATTGTAGGCTAGAGCCGAACTGTTTAATGTTTTACTCATAAAATATTGTCTATACTCATTGAATTAAAAACCAATCATGATATATATCATTTCATCTAATCTTATAAGTTTTAAATTTAATATTTTTATGTTGAATTATTCAAGCCAGAGATTCAATTATTTTCGTCTACGAAATCGATACTTCATCGATAGTAAAATATAGAATACGTAACGAATAGCCAATCACGTTTCCCTAATAGGTTCACGCTCTAATACTAGTATTTAAACTTAGCCAAAAGATTCAATTGGCAAATTCCACTAGGAACGCAGTAGTTCGTGTTATACACAGAATACATTATGAGTAGTTTTTCAGTTATCTGTTTATTTGTTGCTCTGTTTACGGCGTCTCAGGCAACCGAGATTTCGCGGGGGTATTCTGCAAAGCTGGAATTTGATGATGTTAAGTCAAGTAACGAACTTTTAGGAGAACACAAAGCTCAGTCTTTGTGTGCTTGCTCTGCTATGTGTCAAAAGAACTGTGGCCTATTTGGATACAATCCTAACTTGATGAGCTGTCGTACCCACAAGAAGATCTTTACATCTGAAATGTCTAATGAGACAGGTTGGAGATACTATTCACATCACTGTATGTATTACTTTTGTTTTAATTTTCTAGTTTAATGCACGTATAAAAATAATCAGCTGATGTATATGATTGCACATTTAGCATTTTGACAAGATTCATCAATTTTTAATCTAAATGACAATATAATCTTCCAAAGTAACTTCAAAAAGACCATCACAACTCTGTACAGTCTCCCCTTCCATTATGATTCCAAATGTTTACCATCATATTTTGAAGTCCTATATTTTCTTCATCTCAATTTCTGTTAAATATAGCTTTTGGCAAATCTCAAATCGAATTTATACCATTGGGCTTTGTTAATATCCTGATAATAGAAAAGAAAATGCACTTTTGAATAAATCTTAAAAATAACATTTCGCTTTCCCTATGCTTCCGTCGAATCCTAAAAAATTTCAGGATTTTCCTTATTGGAGTGTAACATTTAAAAATATATATATATATATGAATATGGTTTCCTCCAGTTTGGTATAAGAAACTCGTACAATAAATTAAAGATATTGCCTGACGGATTTTTCTGCTCTTCAGTGCTACATGTAGAAGTAAACAATATTATGAATGTATGTAGACTGCAATCTCAGTGTCTACCGTTTGAGGGTGTTGGGACGAACTTTCCCACTTCATTGTCGAATCAAAAAGCATTGCATTCAGGTATCTGAATGGGATCAGTATTTATAATTTGATTCATTGGAACTGCACAATTTTGATATTTGTAGCATGAAATGTATGAGCATTCGCATTCCTATGATTTTTTTTTAAACAAGAGCAATGCAAAGCGGAGCATCCCCTCCCAGAACACATCGATCCTGATGTAAATAATTCAGAATTACTCACAAGCGCTTTCCTGGATCTCCCCCAAAACGTCTTTGCGAGGGGATACATGTAATAAAGTTTCCAGGCATGGAATGAAGATTCTAACATTCAATTACATTCATATCATAGGTCATAATCGTATCTAATGTATTTAACGATGTTTCAATCATTATACACTGTACAGTGTATTATCAGCGGAAGATTCTTTCATTGTCTTAAAGGTATATTTACATCACCGTATTCAAATATTTAATAAATCAAAAAGTCAAAAGTACTTTAAAACTCTAATATTTGAAAATTATAGGAGTATAGATTTAACTGAGATGGCGAAAATGGTGTGCGGGTGGATGCAAAAAGGGTACAGCATACATGTATGTCCGGATAAATCCTCCCACATATTTCCAGAAGGAAGTTCATATTTTGCAGATCAATTAATTGTACATATGAGAGAGATGTGTATTTAGCTTGTACTTTGATAATTTATGAGAAAAATACCAGTTGATGAACTTAAGTCATTTATTTTTTAAAATAATGCATGTAGGTTACACTATATGTCAAGAAAACTCTTCCTATTTTTTTTTAGATGGGAAGTTCTTTTTTGCAGGTCTATTGTACATTTATGGGAAATGTGCATATACATGTAGTACTGGATTTTGATTTTTGATCATTAATGGGAAAATACCAGCTATTGCATATAGGGCACCATTTGTTTGGATAACTCCTTATACTGTTTTAAAGATAGGAAGTTCTTATTTTGTGGATCAGTTGTACTTGCATGTATATCAAAGATATGCATAGTACTTTGATTTCCATTTTTGATAATAATGGAAAAAATACAAGTTAATTAACCTAGGTTTTTTGCAAAATGTTGCATATATAGAGTACATTATTTGTCCATGTAGAGTACATCATTTGTCCGAAAAAATCCTCCTAAAGTTTTCAAGATTGGAACTTTTATTTTGCAGATCAACTGAACAAATATCAAAAATGAGCATATTATTTTGCAAAGCTGTCAGCCCTTACGCTTTTGTCGTAAGGCGTCTAAATTTACCTATTTATCCTGACGATCTCCTTTTTCTCTCCGTTAAACGTTTGAAATACCGGTATAGTCATAGCTGTCCACCTTCAGTTTTCACTATTATAATACAAAAGTCATAATCCTTACAGCGTTTGCTTGTATTTCCATTGTCATTGTCCGTTTCTATGCTAACTTGCGTTCTAAATCATTTTAAAGTGTATCTAGTGGCCGGAGGCTTTGGGGGCCTCTGGACTTCCTCCTGACGATTTTTCATTCGATGATGTTGGCAGCTCTGATTTTGATTTTATATTTTTGATAAAATATGAGAAAAATTCCAGCTGTTGAAATTTTTCATTTTATGATTATAGAGTACATCACTTGATAGCTTATCCTACAGTTTTCAAGATGAGTATTTTTTACTTTACAGATCAATTGCATATATACCTGAGATGTTCATAGTATCATGTTGTAAATTTTGAATTTACTAGGGGGAGAAAAATGCAAAATTTACAACATGATAATAGTACTGAATTTTGACTTTTGATTATTTTAGTAAAATACAACTTGTTGAACTCGATCATTTTAATGTTCATAGGGCATATTGATTATGTTGGGATGTCACTTCCTACAGTTCTCAGAGAGGAAATTTTAAATAAATTATGTGAGAAATACCAGTACTGTTCGCGCAAAAGAAAACCCCATTTGCTGTCACATTGACAATTTCCCCCTTGTTGATTATAAATCGCAAATCAACAGCAAACAATCCCGATTTGTCTTGCGAATTTATATATAAAGTGTATGTACTACGTAATATTTGTATGTAAGTATGCAACTACCTGAGCTTGACTCGGTCAATTTCCTTGTCAAGTGACATCTATATGATAAAGAGGCTTGTTTTTTTTTTTTTTTTTTTTTTTTTTTATTTTAGTTTCTCCCTTCGATTGCAAGGACCTTCTTGAAAATGGACAAACTAGTTCTGGAGTGTACGCCATTTATCCTTATGGAACTGGATCCCTTCCTGTCAATGCTTACTGCGACATGGAAATAGAGGGCGGAGGGTGGACGGTATGTAGTTTTTTTTTTTTTATAGAACAGCTGTTTGACTTGTATATTTTATTGTTCAAGAGATTGGTGAAAATTTACAGAGATTCGTGAAAACCTACATCATGAGTCCACAGTAAAACTCGCCCGTAATGATTAATTATATGTAATTCATGCGCGGATCTAGAGGGGGGGTCGGGGGGTCCGGACCCCTCCCCTGGAATTTGCAGAGTTATTAAAAGTATATACTGGAGCAAGTAAAAAATGACTTTGGACCCCCCCCCCCTAAAAAAACGTGGACCCCACCATCACCACCACGAAATAGTTTTTGTTTGTTTTGTTTTTTTTTGTCAAGAAATTTTTGGGTTGGATTTTTTTTGACTGCGGTGGACTCCCCCCTGGAAAAAATTCCTGGATCCTAGCCTGTAATTTAACTTCAGGTTTCGAGATTTTTCCCCTCATAAAGAGACGTCGTCTGTTTTAGGTGAAGTACCACATATTTTGAGTTATGCATACATGGCGCTTATGGCCGTAGCAATGAGTGGCCTTTATCGTGCCAACCCCTACCCTGACGAGACTTCAGTTTCTTAGGACTCACCTGAAAGACCCGTGACGTTCACTTCTAGTGTCGGCGCCTGACGAAGGAACAGTCAATACCTTTGTTAAACGTCTTAGGTTTGACATGGCACCGGATCCAAAAATCGAACCCGGTAACTTCCGATCACAAAGTGAAGACTCCTACCCCTAGGCTTCCGCGACAGGTCGCATATATAATGAAGTTGAAATATATTAATTTTTTTCTTACATGAACCTATTAAAAACGTATATACTCATTTCTATAATATCATTTTTGTTTTACTTTTGAAGGCAATCCAAAAAAGAGTAGATGGATCAATAAGATTTGACAGGAACTGGACAGAATACAAGAATGGATTTGGTGACCCGGAACGGGATGTCTGGATAGGTAAATATGATAACGGGTAAAAATTGAAGCCTTTATCCCCTCCCATGTTTGAAAAAATGTGAAGGAACATATTAAACTTAGAATCGAATCAAAGATAATATTTTAAGATGCTATCTTTTATGTTCTGCGATATAAGAGAGGTTTAGCAAAACAACGGTTCGTGTATTTATACATGTTACAGGGGATTTCATCCGGAAATCTGTGGGTAACGCCATCACTTAACTTTTGCTAAGAGTGACATTAACATACGCTGTAGATAGCCGAGTACCCATAAGTTCTAATTATATCTCCTCATTTGTTGTTTATTTCCTTTTCTAACTCCGGGGGATCTAAAGAAACTTATGAATATATGTTTTATCGAAAAAATATTAGTTCATTGGGTACAACATACACTAATCTAAAATTCAAGATTATAAAAGCTTTTTTGAAATTACTCGATACACAAGTATTTCATTGAAATATTGTCTTTCATAAGTTGAATAGCCTACAACAATTCGAAATTATCCGAAGATCAGATCAAGACTCATTTAACGTTTAAAGAACAAGTAAACGTATACGTTTTCAATGCTAGGTAAATCCCTGTATTAAAAGGAACATGCTGTACTTGTACACGTAGACGTTGGTTTGCTAGGTGTTTTAAGTTATTTACTCCTGTATTATTTCATTCATAAATTTGATAAGTTCATATAAATATATAGTAAGAGAATAGGGAGATTGATAAAAAGGAGAATTTCACTGAGAGATAAGATCATTCTAGAATAGTCTTTAATGAAATTTTTTCGAATAAGTTCAGAATATAAATCGATTTTTCATTAGAGTTTTTTTAAAAATATGTATAATTTAATTTCAATAAATCTTAATACAGGGAATGACGTAATCCATCAGTTAACAAGGGGAAAGAACTCATCCCTCTATGTCTCCATCAAATTATCGCAGGGTGGGTATCGGCAACTGTACGAGTTGTACGAAAGGTTTTCTATTTCCAACGAATCAGAAAAATATAAACTTTTTCTGGGGGGAAATGCGACGGGAACCTTAGGTAAGTGATGTGTAGGCAGTGTACCTTACATTGATTGCTTATATATTATTTAATAAGTCAGCAGTATACATGTATATTAATCGTATGCCGGCTAAAATACGGTCATGCAGAAGAATATGATTTAATGTCCAAAACTCGCCTGCCCGACTTGCCATTTTTTGGGTTGTACCTGTCCTGTAGGCTACCTGGATTGCCAGTAAAAAAAAGTCTTCCACTCTAAATTGCTGTATTCTTTAAAGAACTCCCTGGCTTACCGTAGTAATCGCTGTATCCAGCTAGAGTATAAGCTTTATTTCTAGCGGTTGGTGTGTACCTTACTGGTCTGAAAAACTAATTTGGATGACGACCAAAGAGCTACCCCCTCCATTCACCTCGAAAAAATCGTATATTTATAGTGCATAAAAAGTTCATTCTCCATATTTTTTAGCTCTTTTCTCAAATATTACTATTTTAGCTCTTTTCCCAAAATACTACTAACCGTGTGTACCATTTTTCTTTTTGTAAGCAAAACATTCCCAGCAACTCGTTGTTAATAGCTCCTCTGAATATGGTCGTCTTTTTTTCCAGAACATTGCAGATTTGCCGTTTCTTCTCTCTAGTACATAACGTTTACATGTGGAATGACATATCGCTTTGATGAAATTTTCCGTACGATTTTTTCTTTGATGCCTCAATCAATATACAATAAGATTCATTTCTTAATTCTGTAGGTGAAAGTATGATAAATACGGGGAATCCTTACCACAATCTCTCGGGGATGTACTTTACTACTCTGGACAGCGACAATGATGAGTGGAGCGCCGGAAATTGTGCCAGTGGAGGTTGGTGGTTCAACTCCTGTCACCTGGCCTTCCTTAATGGTTTCTGGCGTTTTAAAGGCTGGCAGTACCCTTGGTATCCTCACGTTAATGATGGAAGGTATGTGACGGAGACCATGATGCTGATCAAACGTCACTAGGTACGTCTTTGATTATTTTCCACTTGGTGTTTGTTTAATATTTTTACCGCGCGATCGTTCGGGTGAGAGCAGTTTAAACCATCAAAGACCTTAAGTTTGCATAGCTTAACTTTTTAACTCTGATCAACCTTTTCAACCTTCAACCACACGAGACAGTTTAGAGTTGTAAGGTTTTACACAAAAAATGTGCTTAAATAAAAAAAAAATTGCAGATTTCAGTTCGAATTTCCTCTGTTCTCAAGTTAATCTATATAGCTCGCTTCGTGCAGCTCGTTGTGCTCGCTATATTCATAAGTCAGAGTTTTTGATGCACATGCTGAGGGATGGAAAATTTATATTTCTATTGATATAATATTTCTATTATAATTTCTATTATATTTTTTGAGAAAGAAGATGTATCTTTCTTTAGGTTTATATTTCTGAAATATATTTTTGTTTCCAGATGAAAAGTATACAAAGAAGCCATGTGCACGGACTGACGATTCATGAGAAGTTTATTAAACGATAATAAAACATTCCCTCAGAAAGAGACTCTTATTATCTGTGTTAATTATTGTACTTGTATCAATTTAAACTTGAATTTATGGTTTTGAAGAAATTTGGAAGATTTGTAAGTCATTGTTATGTGGACTTTTGCAATTACAATTTTCTCCAAAAATGTAATTATTTCGAATTTTCTATATTTAATGTACATAAAAAAAATATATTTTTAAAATATCATAGAAACAGAAATAACAATGAGTCCTTATATATATATAAGCTGAACACCACTCTTAAATAGACATACGCCATATAAGTTTTCCTATCTCCGATATGAGTACTGGGGTGTTCGTTTTAGTTATCTTCCATTACCTTTATTTACATTTTATTGCAGTTGATAAGTGTATTTGTTTTACCGACCATGTATAATTGTCCAAATGTAACAATCACCTACAATATCAGTTTTAAGAATAATCAGTAGACCAAGTATATTGGTGAAATCAGTAAAAGAATGAAATAATTCAGGAATAATTATTTCAGTGTTGTTACTGTTATTATTTGGATTTTTATTATTGTTATTGATACACATTGTTATAAGTTGTTTTTTATGCTGAAAATATTGACACCTTTCATTGCCTAGATAAAATAAGACATATATGTGATATCTATTCTTAATTTATTTATTTGTTATTCGTGTTGATAGATTTAAAATTATTGTTATTATAAATTATTAATATGATTTCTGTTATACATTATGAGGACTGTTGCTCAATGAATGGAAACTCTGGTTGTTAGTTTTGGAAGTAAAATTCAATAAATTCTGAAACATTTTCATTCAACTTATTTATGGTTTACAACAACAGCATATCACTATCTCTTTAAACATTAGGAAGATATACATTGTACTAATAAATTTGGGAAATTATATAATATTATAAATATGGACTCAATGGACGGTCGATATGCATTTAAAATGACCCAGGATGACAGATATTGACCTCAGATACACGTAGAATATCGACCTCGGTCAATATATGTCATCCTGGGTCATTATAAATGCATATTGACCTACATTGAGTCCATATTTGTATATTAAATTCGTTGAAATAAATTCTAAAATTCCTTTTAAAGAAATTAAATTTGTTTAAACAAATTCTAAAATTTGTTATAACGAATTAAGTACGTTCAATCAAATTCAATAATATGGGGCCTATAAAAAATATATATGAAGTCGATATAACTATTTATCGAATTCAATTTGCTATAACAAATTAAGGAATTCGTTTTTATGAATTTAATTCGTTATAACAATTTTTAGAATTCGTATAACAAATCTAATTCGTCATAACAAATTTTTAAATTTATTATAACGAATTCAACAAATTTGTTATAACAAACCGAATTCGTTATAACGAATTCAAAGAAAATGTTATAACGAATTAAATTCGTTATAACACAAATTCGTCAATCAGTTATATCGAATTCAAAATTATTTTTTAATAGGTCCTAAATGGGCTTCCGTAAAATAAAGTTTGTAATAACGAAGTAATATCATTTAAACAAATGATTAAGTTTATAAGATGGAATTAAATTCGTTGAAACGAAATCGACAATTCAATTTGTTTATTCGAATTCATATTTCTTCTATAGTGACTGTCTCTAAATTTTGAAATATCAATAATACGAATTCATCAAATTTGTTATAACAGAAATAATTTGTTAGAATGAGTTCAAAAAGATGGTTATAACGAATAAATTTCATTTCCAAAATTCGTTAAATCGTTTCAGCAGACAAGGCTTATAACTATACAATCTTCGTTTTTAAGGCTCGATCATTATTATAACTGTATTTTAGAAGAATTTGATTCTAATTCTACGTCTGGATATTTGACTTATAATCACAGTTCACTTTCTAGGGATTAAATTCTTCAAATTTACATTTCAGTCTTTACTACTTTAAACATTCAAATCAACCAAGGTGAATTCGATATATACTACCTAAACTAGACTCCTAAACATAACAAAAGCCCTTACGACAATAATTGCCGGGTTTAGCGAATGCCCTACCCAGCCCATATCTTTACTCCTCATTAAAATATTAACTGTAGTGAAGGGAGGACTTCAGACATATTGTGCTACAACATATTTTAGAAGTGGTGTAAATCAGATCTGGATTCTCAGGAACTCTGGAGAAAGTTAATATAATCTAAAATCACCCAATTTTCAAAAGCCATAAACATCAAAACGTACGACTTTTTTTTTTACACTTCATACAGCCATTCCTTACTATAAATTTAAAACTAGGCATTTTGATGTCATAAGCGCTTGTTTCTTCAATAAAAATGGATTCCGATAATTCTCTAATCTTGTGAATGGTCATCAGCAAAATAATTTTGTTAAAAATCAGTCTGATTCAAAACACAAGTACTTTGAAGTTGATATGAAAGGATTCTTTATTCCTCATTGTAATTCTTATGCTGTCTTTGGAGACCAAATAAGTTTGTGCCTACCCTTTTAATACTATACGCCAACTAAAGAAAGAACATTTTATATTTTAATTATCTACTATAATATTATATATTTTTTTCCTATTTCAAAAGGGAGAGAGAGGGCTATTTTTTCTTAATTTATTTATTATGACTGCTGAATTTTCTTAAGTTATCTCAAGTTATGCAAAGTACAGTAAGGCAAAATCGGAAATCGGTTAAAACGAATTAAAGTTGTTAAAACAAAGTTTAGAATTCGTTTAAACAAATTTAATTCATTAAAACAATTTTTTGAATTCGTTATAACGAATTCAACAAATTTGTTATAACAGATTAAATTCGTTATGACGAATTCAAAGAATTTGTTATAATGAATAAAATTCGTTATAACAAATTCTACAATTCGTAATATCGAATTCGTAAATAATTTCTGATTGGTCCTAAATGGGCTTCCGTAGGTTCATCTTTTTCTTTCACTTTCTCAAATATTTTTTCTATTACTTTTTCTTTGTCACAGTCTAAGGTATGTTTTACTATTTTAATAACACTCTGAGATATGCTAACTTTTTGTCTTTCAAACTAAGGAATGTTCTACTTTAAGATAAGTTTCACTTTTTTCACACTCTCAGGTATGTTTTGCTTTTTCTTTCATACTTTCGGATAAGTTCTACTTTTCCCACACACTCTTAAATGGTTTACTTCTTCTTTCATACTCTCTGATATATTTTACTTTTTCATATCTCAGATATGTTTTTATATTTTTTTTCAAACTTTCAGAAAAGTTTTAATATTACTTTTTTTCACATTCTCATATATGTTTTGTTTTTTTCTTCCACAATCTCAGATATGGTTTGCTTTTTCTTCCTTTTACATTCTCAGATATTTACTATTTTTGCATTTTCAGATATTTTCTATTTTTCTTTTAAAGATGTATTTTTTGACTCGCTCAGTTATTTAGATTTTTCTTTCAAACTCTCATATAATTACTTTTTTTTGGATGTCAACGAATAATCGACTATTCGACTATCAGTCGAATGGACCGATGATCGAATAACGAAACGACATTCGAATAATTAAATTCAATAAAAGAGTGATAAAGAGATGGAATTCTCATCCTAAAATTGAGAAACTGTCTTTCCTCAGACACAGACGATAAGATAATTTTCCTCATTAAAAACTGCCTTTACATGTAGAGAGTACAGTAATTAGAAATGCTTCCCTTCCGCGAGAATTATTTGTCAATTAATATGTTGCTTTTGTAATAAAATTATCTCGCTTTACTGCGCTTTCTTTGTAAAATTATTAATTGGACTTGATCTCATACCATGTACCCATTATAGCTGTGAAATGTTTGGACACTACGGTAATTATTATAAAATTAATATTCTTTTACATATTTTAAAGGCATTTGATAGTTGGTACAAAAAGTATATTCAAATATTTAACATTATCACAGACACCGTGTGTGCCCCCTCGTTTTAATAAGCTTTTAAAAAAATATATCGTACTGTCATTTTTTATGCTTCCTAAAAAAACGACTTTACAGGCCGATTTATGAACATGATTGACGGGGAAATCATATATTTTGGTGAATTAGCGGTCTATATTTAGTAAATATAAACACGCTATCCACATTTTAGGTCCATGTGAAAATCTGTGTGTAACATTTGATGTAACTTTTTAATAAATTTAAGAAAAGGGGATTTGGGGTTAAATATGTCATGTACCATTGAAGTTTGAAATAAAATTTTAGTTTCCGAAAAAGTTTCGAATATATTCGACTATCGTTCAATAATGCAATCGAATATTCGACTAAAGAAAATAAATATTTTGACATCCCTACTTTTTTTATTTTAATTCTCTAAGATATTTACTTTTTACTTTAACTTTCTCAGATATATAAGTTTTCTTAAAGGCTATTAGATATGTTACACTTTTTCTTTAACACTCTCAGTTATTTAAACCTGATGACTTCATTTTTTCAGTCATCAAATTCTCTTACTTGTGAAGCAATATACCCTTATCACCTTCATA